GCTATGGCTCGTACGTTGGTTTGCGTGCAGCCAGCAGTAACAGCCTGGTTGATCAGGCTCTGATCCACCAGGAGGCCTGGTCACAGACCGGGCCGCGGGGGCGTTGACCCCCGGAACTCTCTCCAGGTAAACTTCAGATAAACAAAAAAAAAAAAAAAGATTTTAGCGAAATGTTTGGATGAATGCGTGGAGGCTTCCTCACTGACCCAGAGACACAGCCAGACTGACTCATGAATGTGGCAGAGCGGCCGATAACCGAAATAACAGCCGATAACCGGGATAGAATTTCAGCCAAAAAAGTGGGCGACAACCAAATTGGCCAATATCCGCAACAGCCGATAACCAAGGGTCCACTGTGTATGCAAAGAGATGTGAATGATATTACAAACAAGCTAAAATTATTGTTGTGCTCTAAACTGGTTAACATTTTACCAGTTAAGTGACTGAATTTGTTTCAGTTTCACCATGGAAATTGCATTTATGCTACAGCTAAGAAAAAAATCTTTTGAGTTGATGTGTGGCCTTTTATTTACTTGTAAAGTTCAGTCCTGATTGTTGTCATCATAATGGCATCCAACACTAAAATAATTTTATCTCATTGGCATTGAACACTTATAATAGAATTGTAAGCACAGTCTTTATTTATATACTCAAAGTCAGCAGGGCAGCATTCAGCAGCTTTGAGGGCAGCATAAACTTCAAGAAGAAAATTAACATTGTGATTTACGCTGTGCTTCTTAATTTTTTTTAACACCTTCCTTCTTTGTTTAAAAATGCATTTTTGGTTAATATTTCTGGGTGTTTGGAATGAATTAATTGTATTTACATTAATTCTTATGGGAAATATATTTCGGTTTTCGGCCATTTAAGTTTTCAGCCGACCTTCTGGAACAGATTACCACCGATAACTGAGGGTCCACTGTATTTGCCATTGTGGTTATTTCAATGCTTTTTTCTATGTATTTATTTTATTTCTTACACAGATGTAATTCTGTCAAACCATTATCTTAATTATTATTTGCAATCATGGTTTGCAATTTAAGATAAGAAAATTTTGTTGAAAATAAGAAAAAGTTTTGGAGTGAGATTAACAAGTTAAGGAAGCCTAGAGAACAAATGGATTTGTCAGTTAAAAATAGGAGAGGAGAGTTATTAAATGGAGAGTTAGAGGTATTGGGAAGATGGAGGGAATATTTTGAGGAATTGTTAAATGTTGATGAAGATAGGGAAGCTGTGATTTCGTGTATAGGGCAAGGAGGAATAACATCTTGTAGGAGTGAGGAAGAGCCAGTTGTGAGTGTGGGGAAGTTCGTGAGGCAGTAGGTAAAATGAAAGGGGGTAAGGCAGCTGGGATTGATGGGATAAAGATAGAAATGTTAAAAGCAGGTGGGGATATAGTTTTGGAGTGGTTGGTGCAATTATTTAATAAATGTATGGAAGAGGGTAAGGTACCTAGGGATTGGCAGAGAGCATGCATAGTTCCTTTGTATAAAGGCAAAGGGGACAAAAGAGTGCAAAAATTATAGGGGGATAAGTCTGTTGAGTATACCTGGTAAAGTGTATGGTAGAGTTATTATTGAAAGAATTAAAAGTAAGACTGAGAATAGGATAGCAGATGAACAAGGAGGCTTTAGGAAAGGTAGGGGGTGTGTGGACCAGGTGTTTACAGTGAAACATATAAGTGAACAGTATTTAGATAAGGCTAAAGAGGTCTTTGTGGCATTTATGGATTTGGAAAAGGCGTATGACAGGGTGGATAGGGGGGCAATGTGGCAGATGTTGCAGGTGTGTGGTGTAGGAGGTAGGTTACTGAAAGCAGTGAAGAGTTATTACGAGGATAGTGAGGGTCAAGTTAGAGTACATAGGAAAGAGGGAAATTATTTCCCAGTAAAAGTAGGCCTTAGACAAGGATGTGTGATGTCACCGTGGTTGTTTAATATATTTATAGATGGGGTTGTAAGAGAAGTAAATGCGAGGGTTTTGACAAGAGGCGTGGAGTTAAAAGATAAAGAATCACACATAAAGTGGGAGTTGTCACAGTTGCTCTTTGCTGATGACACTGTGATCTTGGGTGATTCTGAAGAGAAGTTGCAGAGGTTGGTGGATGAATTTGGTAGGGTGTGCAAAAGAAGAAAATTAAAAGTGAATACAGGAAAGAGTAAGGTTATGAGGATAACAAAAATATTAGGTGATGAAAGATTGGATATCAGATTGGAGGGAGAGAGTATGGAGGAGGTGAATGTATTCAGATATTTGGGAGTGGACGTGTCAGCGGATGGGTCTATGAAGGATGAGGTGAATCATAGAATTGATGAGGGGAAAAGGGCGAGTGGTGCACTTAGGAGTCTGTGGAGACAAAGAACTTTGTCCTTGGAGGCAAAGAGGGGAATGTATGAGAGTATAGTTTTACCAACACTCTTATATGGGTGTGAAGCATGGGTGATGAATGTTGCAGCGAGGAGAAGGCTGGAGGCAGTGGAGATGTCATGTCTGAGGGCAATGTGTGTGTGAATATAATGCAGAGAATTCGTAGTTTGGAAGTTAGGAGGAGGTGCGGGATTACCAAAACTGTTGTCCATAGGGCTGAGGAAGGGTTGTTGAGGTGGTTCGGACATGTAGAGAGAATGGAGCGAAACAGAATGACTTCAAGAGTGTATCAGTCTGTAGTGGAAGGAAGGCGGGGTAGGGGTTGGCCTAGGAAAGGTTGGAGGGAGGGGGTAAAGGAGGTTTTGTGTGCGAGGGGCTTGGACTTCCAGCAGGCGTGCGTGAGCGTGTTTGATAGGAGTGAATGGAGACGAATGGTTTTTAATACTTGACGTGCTGTTGGAGTGTGAGCAAAGTAACATTTATGAAGGGATTCAGGGAAACCGGCAGGCCGGACTTGAGTCCTGTAGATGGGAAGTACAGTGTCTGCACTCTGAAGGAGGGGTGTTAATGTTGCAGTTTAAAAACTGTAGTGTAAAGCACCCTTCTGGCAAGACAGTGATGGAGTGAATGATGGTGAAAGTTTTTCTTTTTCGGGCCACCCTGCCTTGGTGGGAATCGGCCAGTGTTTACCTGGAGTTTACCTGGAGAGAGTTTCGGGGGTCAACGCCCCCGCGGCCCGGTCTGTGACCAGGCCTCCTGGTGGATCAGCGCCTGATCAACCAGGCTGTTGCTGCTGGCTGCACGCAAACCAACGTACGAGCCACAGCCCGGCTGATCAGGAACTGACTTTAGGTGCTTGTCCAGTGCCAGCTTGAAGACTGCCAGGGGTCTGTTGGTAATCCCCCTTATGTGTGCTGGGAGGCAGTTGAACAGTCCTCGGGCCCCTGACACTTATTGTATGGTCTCTTAACGTGCTAGTGACACCCCTGCTTTTCATTGGGGGGATGGTGCATCGTCTGCCAAGTCTTTTGCTTTCGTAGTGAGTGATTTTCGTGTGCAAGTGTGATAATAAAAAAAAAAAAAATTTAAACAAAATATGAGAAATGCCTGCACTTTAAAGAAGGGGTTTGGGATATATATTTGCTGTTTGGAGTGACATCTGAACTGTCATATCTGTACACCTCTGCTATGACAGTGATTATATGTGAATGATGGTGAAAGTGTTGAATGATGGTTAAAGTGTTTCTTTCTTCTTTGGGCCACCCTGCCTCTGAGGGAGATGGGCAGCACGTCGAAAAAAATATGGAAAAAGCTGCTTGAAAAGAATTACAAACTGATACAGAAATTCTCCACAATCCCCCCATGTGAGAAGTCTCATAAAAACAAAATGCAACTAATCGAAACTATTCTAGAACTGGGTCACAAAATGTCTTATTAATTAATATATATTGACACTATTACTATATATGGGTGTGATGCATGGATGGTGAATGTTGCAACAAGGAGAAGGCTGGAGGCAGTGGAAATGTTGTGTGTGAAGGTAATGTGCAGTGCGAATATAATGCTGAGAATCTATAGTTTGGAAATTAAGAGGTGTGGGTTACTAAAAGTATTATCCAGAGGGCTTAGGAGGGGTTGCCGAAGTAGTTTGGACATTTGGAGAGGATGGAACAAAATAGGATGACTTGGAGAGTATATGAATCTGTAGTGGAAGGAATAATAATATCTTTATTTTTACAAGTACATGTACAGGGTATACAGAACTAGCTGACATCAATGACATACTACTATACAGAAAGTCGCTAAATCTGATGAGCATTTCGGGCAAATTAGGTCAATTTTGTCCCAGGATGCGACCCACACCAGTCGACTAACACCCAGATATCCACTTTACTGATGGGAACACAGACAACCGATGTAAGAAAACACCCCCCAATGTTTCTACCCTTGCGGGGAATTAAACCGGGCCCTCACCATGTGAAGCGAGAGCTTTTGCCATCAGCCATGGGTTTAGCGCTTCCCCAAGAATACAGCATTACTAATAATCTTCAGTGAGAGGATAAAAAAATAACAGCTACTAATATAGTTAAACATGGATATATTTAAAATTGCCCTATCATGTAAAATCAATGAAATTTTTTTTATTATTTGTTGATGACACAATTTATATATATACACACAAACACACACACACAAAGGAGCTGTGATTCGACCCCCTACAACCACATATAGGTGATTACAAGCAGTACTCAGTGAAAATAGTAATACAACAGAAATGATCCATGTGATTTATTGATCAATTATGCTAGGTAAGAGTTAAGGAAACGACTCAGGAATGATATTAGCATCCGCAGTTGTTTTACCTTCCTCATCTTTTTACTTGCCTCTTGGGTATCACGGACTTTAACGTCGCTACCAAAGCCAGGAGCATCTAAAGTAACAGAGCTGGAGAAGCTGCCTGACCACGCAGGGCGTTGCCTGCAAAGGGTAAGCTGTTGCTTGAGAACGAGCTCACGCCAGATTCAAGATTACCTAAAGACTCTGATCCAAAGCTGGAGTCGGGAGTTGCACTTCCGAAGGCAAGAGGGATGTTTGATTCGCCAAACGAACCAGTTCCCACCAAATGAACCGGTTTTCTCCACCAAATGATCCACTTCCTCCACCAAATGAACCAGTTTCTCCCCCAAATGAACCACTTTGTCCACCAAATGAACCAGTTCCTCCACCTAATGAACCGGTTTCTCCACCAAATGATCCACTTTCCTCCACCAAATGAACCAGTTTTCTTTTCCCCCAAATGAACCACTTTGTCCACCAAATGAACCAGTTCCTCCACCTAATGAACCGGTTTCTCCACCAAATGAATCACTTCCTTGACTTATTGAAACACTTCCTCCATCAAATGAACCGGTTTCCCCACCTAATGAACCACTTCCTCCACCAATGAATCACTTCCTTGACTTATTGAAACACTTCCTCCACCAAATGAACCGGTTCCTCCACCTAATGAACCGGTTTCTGCACCAAATGAACCACTTCCTCCACCAAATGAATCACTTCCTTGACTTATTGAAACACTTCCTCCACCAAATGAACCGGTTCCTCCACCTAATGAACCGGTTTCTGCACCAAATGAATCACTTCCTTGACTTATTGAAACACTTCCTCCACCAAATGAACCGGTTTCTCCACCAAATGAACCGGTTTCTGCACCCAATGAACCACTTCCTTCACCAAATGAGCCGGTTTCTGCACCAAATGAACCGGTTTCTGCACCAAATGAACCACTTCCTCCACCAAATGAATCACTTCCTTGACTTATTGACACACTTCCTTCACCAAATGAACCGGTTCCTCCACCTAATGAACCGGTTTCTGCATCAAATGAATCACTTCCTTGACTTATTGAAACACTTCCTCCACCAAATGAACCGGTTTCTCCACCAAATGAACCGGTTTCTGCACCCAATGAACCACTTCCTTCACCAAATGAGCCGGTTTCTGCACCAAATGAACCACTTCCTGCGCCCATACTTGGATCCCCAAATGAACTGCTTCCTGGGCCAAATGAACCACTTCCTGGGCCCATACTTGGATCGCCAAATGAACTGCTTCCTGGGCCAAATGAACCACTTCCTGGGCCCATACTTGGATCGCCAAAGGAACCACTTCCTGGGCCCAAACCTGGTTCGCCAAATGAACTACTTCCTGGGCCAAATGAAGCACTTCCTGGGCCCATACTTGGATCGCCAAAGGAACCACTTCCTGGGCCCATACCTGGTTCGCCAAATGAACCACTTCCTGGGCCCATACCCGGATCACCAAAGGAACCACTTCCTAGGCCCATACCTGGTTCGCCAAATGAACTGCTTCCTGGGCCAAATGAACTACTTCCTGGGCCCATACTTGGATCGCCAAAGGAACCACTTCCTGGGCCCATACCTGGTTCGCCAAATGAACCACTTCCTGGGCCCATACCTGGATCGCCAAAGGAACCACTTCCTGGGGGTATACCTGGTTCGCCAAATGAACTACTTCCTGGGCCAAACGAACCACTTCCTGCGCCCATGCCTGGATCGCCAAATGAACCACCTATTCCTGGCTCGCTAATTAAGCCACCGGCTCCGCCTATTCCTGGTTCCCCAAATGAACCACTTCCTAGGCCTATACCTGGGTCGCCAAAGGAACCACTTCCTGGGCCCATACCTGGTTCGCCAAATGAACTACTTCCTGGACCAAATGAACCACCTCCTGCGCCCATGCCTGGTTCGCCAAATGAACCAGTGGGTGATGCCCCAGGTCCTGTTCCAAAGGTGCTAACTTCACCTCCAAATTGGGTTCCTACAGCAGGGTGACTACTGTCCTGGAAGCTGTCTTGTCCAGGTCCAAATTCTGCTGGTCCAGGAGGGTGACTCGGGAAGGAACCTGCGAAAGAAGATGCTCCAGGTTGGGAGTCTGGAACGGTTCCTGTGTCTCTGTGTATGAATGAAAAGTCGGACGGGAAGGTGGAATCCGAAGGCATGGCTTGTCCTACAAGTACTGGAGATCCAGGTTGTGCTGCTGGTCCCGAAGGTATCCCCTGTTCTCCAAATGCTGGAGATCCAGGTTGTGTTGCTGGTCTGGAAGGTATCCCCTGCCCTCCAAATGCTGGAGATCCGGGTTGTGTTGCTGGTCCAGAAGGTATCCCCTGTCCTCCAAATGCTGGAGATCCGGGTTGTGTTGCTGGTCCAGAAGGTATTCCCTGTCCTCCAAATGCTGGAGATGCAGGTTGTGTTGCTGGTCCGGAAGGTATCCCTTGTCCTCCAAATGCTGGAGATCCGGGTTGTGTTGCTGGTCCAGAAGGTATCCCCTGCCCTCCAAATGCTGGAGATCCAGGTTGTGTTGCTGCTCCAGAAGGTATGTCCTGTCTTCCACTCCCAGGAGCTCCAAGCTGTGTTGGTGACCCTGCATGACTATGAGGGAATGGGTAAACACAGTCTTGTCCATAATGAAAGTCTGGAGCATAGTATGGGGTTGGAGGTCTGGATTGGAAATAATATGGGTACCATCCGGGCCTGTAGAGGTAGGGATCAGCGCGTGGTGCGCTGCTTAGAAAACTCGAAGTGTCCACAACATCTGGCAGATCCATACCACTGCGTAGTCTCCCATTAAACTGCTGTCTGCGCCACCCAGGATAAGGAGGAGGCCAGTAGGCAGGACCGCCATAAAAGGGATCGTAGAAAGGAAAGAACTGCCTCTTGTCCCGCTTTGATTCTTCCTCTGGTTCTTCAGCAGGCGTCTCAGTCTCTGATGTACCAGTCACCGGCTCTCCAGTCTCCGCTTCCACAGTCAACTTCTCTCCAGTCTCTTTGCGAGAGTCACTGGTGTCTCAGTCGTATCTGCTGTGTTAACTTCTGTGGCATGGACCATCCACACCACCGCCACCACCATCACCACCACCTGCCAAACAACCACAACATATTAACACATACAGAAGATAATAAAGAATAAAACGGCACAATATGAGAAAGAAACTTATGAAACAAGTGTGAAGATTGTATCTCTGGTACAACACAAGGCTTGAGACAGTATTTCTGGTACAACACAAGTCTTTGAGTCTGTATCCCTGGTACAACAAAAATTAAGTCTTGAGATTGCATCCCTGGTACAAGTTAAATTTAAAGACTGTATCTCTGGCACAACACAAGTTAAGTCTGAAGACTGTATCTGTGGTATAACACAGGTTAAGTCTTGAGACTTTATCTGTGGTACAACACAAGCTAAGTCTTGAGAATGTATCTCTGGTACAACACAAGTTAAAAGTCTTGAGACTGTGTCTCTGGTACAACACAAGTTAAATCTTGAGACTTCATCTGGGGAACAATACAAGTTAAATCTTGAGACTGTATCTCTGGTAAAATACATGTTAAGTCTGGAGACTGTATCTCTGGTACAATACATGTTAAGTCTGAAGACTGTATCTCTAGCGCAACACAAGTCAAGTCTTGATACTGTATCTGTGGGTCATCACAAGTCTGGAGACTGCATCTCTGGTACAACACAAGTCTGGAGACTGTATCTCTGGTACAGTACATGTTAAGTCTGGAGATTGTATCTCTGGTACAATACATGTTAAGTCTTGAGACTGCATTTCTGGTATAACACAAGTTAAGTATTGAGACAGTATCCCTGTTAAAACACAGGTTAAGTCTGAGGACAGTATCTCTTGTACAACATAAGTCTTCAGTCTGTGTCCCTGGTACAACACAAGTTTAGTTTAAAGACTGTATCTCTGGCACAACACAAGTTAAGTCTGAAGATTGTATCTGTATTACAACACAAGTTAAATCTTGAGACTTTACCTGTGATACAACACAAGTTAAGTCTTGAGAACGTATCTCTGGTACAACACAAGTTAAGTCTTGAGACTGTGTCTCTGGTACAACACAAGTTAAGTCTTGAGACTTTATCTGTGGAACAACACAAGTTAAATCTTGAGACTGTATCTCTGGTAAAATACATGTTAAATCTGGAGACTGTATCTCTGGTACAATACATGTTAAGTCTGAAGACTGTATCTCTAGAGCAACAGAAGTCAAGTCTTGATACTGCATCTGTGGGACATCACAAGTCTGGAGACTGTATCTCTGGTACAACACAAGCCTGGAGACTGTATCTCTGGTACAGTACATGTTAAGTCTGGAGATTGTATCTCTGGTACAGTACATGTTAAGTCTGGAGACTGTATCTCTGGTACAACACAAGTCTGGAGACTGTATCTCTGGTACAATACATGTTAAGTCTGGAGACTGTATCTCTGGTACAACACAAGTCTGGAGACTGTATCTGTGGTACAACACAAGTCTTGAGACTGTATCTCTGGTACAACACAAGTCTGGAGAACGTATCTCTGTATCTCTGGCACAACACATGTCTTGAGACTGTATCCTTGGTACAACACAAGTCTGGAGACTATCTCTGGTGCAACACATGTCTGGAGACTGTATCTGTGGTACAACACAAGTCTTGAGACTGTATCTCTGGTACAACACAAGTCTGGAAACTGTATCTGTGGTACAACACAAGTCTTGAGACTGTATCTCTGGTACAACACAAGTCTGGAGACCGTATCTCTGGTACAACACAAGTCTGGAGACCGTATCTCTGGTACAACACAAGTCTTGAGACTGTATCTCAGGTACAACACAAGTCTGGAGACTGTATCTGTGGTACAACACAAGCCTGGTGATTGTATCTCTGGTACAACACAAGTCTGGAGACTGTATCTATGGTACAACACAAGTCTGGAGACCGTATCCCTGGTACAACACAAGTCTGGAGACTGTATCTCTGGTACAACACAAGCCTGGTGACTGTATCTCTGGTACAACACAAGTCTGGAGACTGTATCTATGGTACAACACAAGTCTGGAGAACGTATCCCTGGTACAACACAAGTCTTGAGACTGTATCTCTGGTACAACACAAGTCTGGAGACTGTATCTGTGGTACAACACAAGTCTTGAGACTGAATCTCTGGTACAACGCAAGTCTGGAGACCGTATCTCTGGTACAACACAAGTCTGGAGACCGTATCCCTGGTACAACACAAGTCTGGAGACTGTATCTCTGGTGCAACACAAGCCTGGTGACTGTATTTCTGGTACAACACAAGTCTGGAGACTGTATCTATGGTACAACACAAGTCTGGAGACCGTATCCCTGGTACAACACAAGTCTGGAGACTGTATCTCTGGTACAACACAAGCCTGGTGACTGTATCTCTGGTACAACACAAGTCTGGAGACTGTATCTATGGTACAACACAAGTCTGGAGACCGTATCTCTGGTACAACACAAGTCTTGAGACTGTATCTCTGGTACAACACAAGTCTGGAGACTGTATCTGTGGTACAACACAAGTCTTGAGACTGAATCTCTGGTACAACGCAAGTCTGGAGACTGTATCTCTGGTACAACACAAGCCTGGTGATTGTATCTCTGGTACAACACAAGTCTTGAGACTGTATCTCTGGTACAACACAAGTCTTGAGACTGTATCTCTGGTACAACGCAAGTCTGGAGACTGTATCTGTGGTACAACACAATTCTTGAGACTGTATCTCTGGTACAACACAAGTCTGGAGACCGTATCTCTGGTACAACACAAGTCTGGAGACCGTATCTCTGGTACAACACAAGTATTGAGACTGTATCTCTGGTACAACACAAGTCTGGAGACTGTATCTGTGGTACAACACAAGTCTTGAGACTGAATCTCTGATACTACGCAAGTCTGGAGACCGTATCTCTGGTACAACACAAGTCTGGAGACCGTATCTCTGGTACAACACAAGCCTGGTGACTGTATCTCTGGTACAACACAAGTCTGGAGACTGTATCTATGGTACAACACAAGTCTGGAGACCGTATCCCTGGTACAACACAAGTCTGGAGATTGTATCTCTGGTACAATACATGTTAAGTCTTGAGACTGCATTTCTGGTATAACACAAGTTAAGTATTGAGACAGTATCCCTGGTAAAACACAGGTTAAGTCTGAGGACAGTATCTCTTGTACAACATAAGTCTTCAGTCTGTGTCCCTGGTACAACACAAGTTAAGTCTTGAGATTGCATCCCTGGTACAACACAAGTTTAGTTTAAAGACTGTATCTCTGGCACAACACAAGTTAAGTCTGAAGACTGTATATGTATTACAACACAAGTTAAATCTTGAGACATTTATCTGTGATACAACACAAGTTAAGTCTTGAGAATGTATCTCTGGTACAACACACAGTTAAGTCTTGAGACTGTGTCTCTGGTACAACACAAGTTAAGTCTTGAAACTTTATCTGTGGAACAACACAAGTTAAATCTTGAGACTGTATCTCTGGTTAAATACATGTTAAGTCTGGAGACTGTATCTCTGGTACAATACATGTTAAGTCTGAAGACTATCTCTGGAGCAACACAAGTCAAGTCTTGATACTGCATCTGTGGGACATCACAAGTCTGGAGACTGTATCTCTGGTACAACACAAGCCTGGAGACTGTATCTCTGGTACAGTACATGTTAAGTCTGGAGATTGTATCTCTGGTACAGTACATGTTAAGTCTGGAGATTGTATCTCTGGTACAGTACATGTTAAGTCTGGAGACTGTATCTCTGGTACAACACAAGTCTGGAGACTGTATCTATGGTACAACACAAGTCTGGAGACCGTATCTCTGGTACAACACAAGTCTGGAGACTGTATCTCTGGTACAACACAAGTCTTGAGACTGTATCTCTGGTACAACACAAGTCTGGAGACCGTATCTCTGGTACAACACAAGTCTGGAGACCGTATCTATGGTACAACACAAGTCTAGAGACTGTATCTATGGTACAACACAAGTCTGCAGACTGTATCTCTGGTACAACACACGTCTGGCTAGCTAGGTTCCTACCTTGAACATCATGTTGAGTGGAGTGCACCTGCTGCCAGCTCTGTGGCTAGCACTGGTCTACCCGGCCACCTGCCTTACACCTAGTTTTGTACACTCTCATGCACTCGCCCACAAAAAAACAAGAAGCCTCTCGCAGCGAGGTCTACCATTATTAAGGACGCTACTGCGACATTTGCTGCGCGCAGTCTTACAGTTTTCCTGTAAACACTTAGTGAGGTTTGAACTTTTACTCTGATAGCTTTGTTGGGTCCCATGCCCATGGAGTGGTAGTCACCCCATGCCCATGGGGTAGTAATCACTTTATACCCATCCTGTGGGTGGTAGTCACCCCATGCCCATGGGGTAGTAATCACTTTATACCCATCCTGTGGGTGGTAGTCACCCCATACCGATCCTGTGGGTGGTAGTAACCCCATGCCCATGGGGTGGTAGTCACTTTATACCCATAAACTTTATACCCTTAAACTCTAATATCAACCTTGACCTAAAACGCTTTCTTGATAGTTGTTTACCTGGAGTTTACCTGGAGAGAGTTTCGGGGGTCAACGCCCCCGCGGCCCGGTCTGTGACCAGGCCTCCTGGTGGATCAGCCCCTGATCAACCAGGCTGTTGCTGCTGGCTGCACGCAAACCAACGTACGACCCACAGCCCGGCTGATCAGGGACTGACTTTAGGTGCTTGTCCAGTGCCAGCTTGAAGACTGCCAGGGGTCTGTTGGTAATCCCCCTTATGTGTGCTGGGAGGCAGTTGAACAGTCTCGGGCCCCTGACATTTATTGTATGGTCTCTTAACGTGCTAGTGACACCCCTGCTTTTCATTGGGGGGATGGTGCATCGTCTGCCAAGTCTTTTGCTTTCGTAGTGAGTGATTTTCGTGTGCAAGTTCGGTACTAGTCCCTCTAGGATTTTCCAGGTGTATATAATCATGTATCTCTCCCTCCTGCGTTCCAGGGAATACAGGTTTAGAAACCTCAAGCGCTCCCAGTAATTGAGGTGTTTTATCTCCGTTATGCGCGCCGTGAAAGTTCTCTGTACATTTTCTAGGTCGGCAATTTCACCTGCCTTGAAAGGTGCTGTTAGAGTGCAGCAATATTCCAGCCTAGATAGAACAAGTGACCTGAAGAGTGTCATCATGGGCTTGGCCTCCCTAGTTTTGAAGGTTCTCATTATCCATCCTGTCATTTTTCTAGCAGATGCGATTGATACAATGTTATGGTCCTTGAAGATGAGATCCTCCGACATAATCACTCCCAGGTCTTTGACGTTGGTGTTTGTGACAGAACCCACAGGCATAACACCAGACACAAACATCTCTAGGGACATTCCCCGTGTCCGACTAAACCTTTACAAAAATTCAATGTATGTCAAAGGCCCTAAAATCTGGAATACCCTACCTGAGAACTCTAGAACTGCAGACACATTCATCACCTTCAAAACTACCATTAGAAAACATCTTATCTCCCTGATACACCCCGTCAACTAACTACACGAATACCACTTGGTGGTTAACACTTACACTCACTCACTCATTTGACCATAAACAGAAATATTAATCTCAATATTAAAATAATGAATCCTGTGATACTCCAATACTGAAACTATGTACTGTGCCAAAACAAAAGCATTTACATTGCTAAACTCACAAACTGGTATTTAGTCACTTAGCCATAATACCAA